GGCTGGCGGAGGAAACCTCGGAGCACATTCTGTGTGACTGCCCGCGTGTCATGAATAGCAGACTGATGCACCTTGGGGAACGATTGTCTTCTCCATCCAACATTTGGAACACGGCACCCTCCAATGTGCTTAATTTCTTGAATAGCCTAAGGTTGGAGTGACTACAATCAGGGTTTAGCACAATAGATCTTTTAGGTCGCAGCGCGAGTATACCCGACGTACTAATAATAATAATAATAATAATAATACTTTGTATTCACCATATAACCAAGCACTGTTATTTTTTTCAAAGTGATCTTTTTTCTCGCTTATTTCCATCGATCGTTAAATTTAGATGTAAGTAAATTTTTCTGAGTACTCCAACTATGTCAGCTCTCTCTGAGGACAATGTAAAAGTGTCCATCAAATATTTTATTTTAATTCTGTATAATTTTTGCCTGACTTTTTAAAAAAACCATACAAAACTCTGCCATCACATGCAAAGTCAATCATTGTGATAAATCCCTGCCAAAATGGGAGGTCCTATATGAGTCTTGTACGCTCTTAATAAGTTCATTTAAGAGTCCGAAATGAGGGTGTTTCCTTCCTCCAAAGGTCGACTTATATGGTCTTAAATATATTTGAATATACATACATCACATGAGCCTCAATATGAGACATATGGGACTCTTAGTGACTACATTCGGACTCCTATTTTATGTTGCCTTTCGAGCCTTATTGGCTTCATTCTTCGACTCTTATTGAGCTTCAAGTATCATACGTACATATGTATGCGCATATATGTATACATAATTACCTCACAAATATATAAACATTCCAACATACATATGTACATATATTTATTAGCAGCAGCTGCTGCTAAATATTCTTTATTTTTTGTTTCCTAATTACACAGGTTTCCAAAAAAAAAGCTTATGCATATTAAAGCAAACCTATATATCCCTATGTTATTCGACACGCTGAATGCGAATCCGAGGTCCGTTAGTCTCCACCACGTCAGGTTCGTGGTCAGTTGAAGGTCAAGTAGGGAAAAATTCATTGAATAAACCTGAAAATTCATACACATAAGGTTTTACATTCGCTGAACCCGAATCCGAGGTCCCTTAACCTCCATAATGTCAGCTTCGAGGTCATTTGAAGGTCAAATGGGACATAAAATTTATTCAATAAAAAT